TCGATACCTCTCATCCAGAGGACCCTAGATACCCCCAAACCCCCCGTGCGCCTCCCACGGCCACACTCTCTCACCCCCAGGAAGACCAAACTGAGGCCCTAACTCACCCAACCGAACAAGATCCCCCACCCCTTCCAGACTTAGAAACCATCGACATTGAATCCAATGATGATATACCTGCCATCCTGGATACCCAACCTGACGCTGAACCCTCCCCTAAAAATTTGGAGGAATTCAAAAAATTCTCAGCTCTTTTAATAAGACTGACTAGAGCCTTAAACCTAGCCACTCCGGAACCTACCGATACGGTAGCTGACCCGTGTTTTACTTCCACTGAACAACAACAACCATCATCCACTGTGTTGCCCACTCTGCCTTACTTATTAAAGATTCCCAAAAATAATGGAGTTGCCCCGGCTTCGGTTCCGGCAACTCCTAAGAGGCCTGAAAACTTGTACCGTATTGATCTTTCCTCAGCTTCATGGCTGGCTAAAATGCCTAAAGCAAATTCTGTCGTGACTGATGCTCAACCTAAACCAACTCAAATTAACCAAACCTCTCCCTCTGATAAAGAAGGAAGGAAATTGGATGCTATGGCCAAAAAATTCTACTCCTCAGCATGCCTCTTTGCACGCATGGCTCACTATGGAGTATACATGAGCGTATACCAGACTGCCTTGTGGAACAAAATAGCTCCCTATTTAGACCTATTACCTCCAACCGAACAACCTCTGGCCACAGCTTTTAAACAAGAAGCTCTCCTTTTGGCCTCCCTACAAAAAGACCTCTCCAAAAATATTGCTGACACCGCAGGCAAACTCATTGCAGGATCAGTGGCCCTTCGCCGCCACGCCTGGCTGAGAGCAGCTATCCTTTCTCAATCACAACGCACCCTGATTGAGAATCTCCCCATGGATGAAGCAGGCCTTTTCAATCCTGAAACAGATTCTCAATTGAAATACTCCCATGAAATGAAACAAACAGTATACAAGTATGACCAACAACCATACTCTTACCAGCGCCAGCGATGGGGATCCTACTACTACCGCCCTCAATATTACAATAGGCCCTACAACACCTCATTCTACAGGGGACGACAGAGGCCTTACAACCCCTCCACATCGTCAAGATGACCGCCCTTGCCATCCAGAGGTCAGTACCGCGGTGCCAGGCCCCCCAATACCAACAAACGTCGTTTTTAACACACCTACACCTACTGCCATTCTCCTACCCCACATCCAACCACTTACATACCTGGACAGATTACTTACCTTTCTCCCGACATGACAGTCCATAACCACAGACACCTGGGTCTTGGACATCGTTGAAAGGGGCTACGCCATAGAATTTGACAACTACCCTCCAGTGGGCAATATACTACTAACCCCACCTTCCCAAACCATTTGGGAAGAGATTCACTCTCTCCTTCAAAAAGGCGCCATCTCGCCTACTTCTTCACAAGATGCAGACACCTGCTTTTTCTCCCGTTACTTCCTGGTAGATAAGAAAGATGGTGGTCTACGCCCCATCCTTGATCTACGTAAACTCAACACTTTCATTACACCACGTAAATTTCGCATGGTAACACTTCCCAAAATTCTCCCCTTCATACCCAAAGACTCCTGGTTAGCCACGGTTGACCTCCGGGACGCCTACTTCCATATTTCAATTAGACACTCCCACCGCAGGTTCCTTACCTTCGCGGTCCAAAACAGATTCTTCTCCTTCAATTCTCTCCCATTCGGACTGTCCACAGCACCAAGAGTATTTACCAAGTGCATGTCTGTTGTAGCCGCACACCTCCGCCAACAAGGCGCCACAGTTTTTCCTTACCTGGATGACTGGATGTTCTGCTCGTCCTCTCGACCACAATTGTGTAAAGATATTGATTATACTTTATCTCTTTTGCAGGATCTGGGTCTGGTCGTGAATCACGAAAAATCTCACCTGACCCCAACACAACGCATCCAATTCATAGGAGCCGTTATAGACTCCACACTTCAGAAGGCCTTCCTCCCAGAAGATCGCTTCCAAAACTTGTGCCAATCTATCCTGACCCTACAACAATCCCGCCAAACATCAGCTTGGGCTATCCAGTCTATCCTTG